GTAATGTAGTCCTTTTGTAATTTTTTAGTATGAAGATCTTAACCATTTTCTTCATGGCTGGTAAAGGTACTATAGTCATATCTGTTTTATAGGATCTTTGGTGGATGAATTTTTATGTATCAAGGGATACATTGATTTCTATAGCTAAATGTGTGATCAAAATTATCTCGAATATAAATTCATACATCTAAAGAGTATGTGAGGCACTTCATTTGTCAAAGAATGTTGTATGTTGGCCACTAGAATGAGTTGCAACTTTTACTAGAGATAATTCATTGGATGAATGAAATTCGATAATGTTTTATGAGGGTATGGAATAAAAAATTTTCTGTCCAGAATTTACGTGTGGATTTGATCCAGCATTGCAGCACACACACACAGACACATGCACATACAGAGAGAGATTGTCAAATTAGCAGCAACAATTTAATACTATTCCATGTACATTTTAACAGAAGAAATTATAGAAGCAATGGCAAACATATTATTATAACTTTAATTAAAATATTTAATTAAAATAATTAAAACATATGTATTATAACTTCATAAGCATCAGGAATTGAAGCAAGTGGGTTTATGTTAGCTTGAATTATTAAAACATTTAGTGCCTTAGCCCTAAAGACAGTCCTACTCTCTGTTTAGAATGAAGATGTAGGCGGGGGGGAACCATCATTGTATAATGCTATTTCCAAACTGGGTGGGGGAAAAAAAAACCCAATCCTTATCTCTGGTGTTTATTGCTTTTACTTAATGGAGAAAAAAAAAAGATTGAAATTCATACATAAGAGTTAAAGGGGGAACCAATGGCAACCACACTAGAGAGAACCACACTCTGTAAACATACAGCTGCTCAGCTTCAGTGCCAAGTATTGATTAATTTGGAAGAATGGGATGAATAAACACTTTTTACATTTTTGCACTAGCAGTGGGCAATCCATTGACGTGTATTGCTTCTTTATCATCTATAATGAAGATCTGAACTTTAACTAGGCTGGGTCTGTGAGTCTTCTGCCAAATCAAGCTGAGGAGTTGAACTAAATCATAAAATGTCAGGAGATTTGAGATTTACTGTAAAGTCCAGCTTGACACACTACCTCCTCTGTATACATTGTCTCTATCTTGCATATGTGTTCTCCCATATACAAGGAGAAAACTTTTTTGTACTAAAAAAAAATGGTCATAATGTTTTCATAGGTCCTTTAGTTTTTGAAGCCATAGACACAGTGGTTATTGAATAAAACAGACCTACCTTTCTTTTCATTTCTGTGGCATTTTCACTTTCCTTTTTCATATTACATGAAAGAAACCCAAGTCAGTGTGACTTTGCACTTAGGAACTTAGGTGTAAGTTTTATAAGTATCTGAAGGTACAGTCTTTTGACTGGACACAATTAAAAGATACATTTTGGATACAAATGATGTTCTAGGCCTGAAGTACATAGTTATTTTGACAAATCTATATGTTTATAGCATTTATATCACAACCTTTCTCTAGAAGGTCAGGGTGATATATGAAACTCTCTCCTAATTTTATCTTTACAACAGAGGCCTAGGCACAACTGAGATGAAATAGATAACACCAATGAGTTTTGTGATGGAGTGGGGACTTCAGTCTAAATCTCCCCAGTCCAAAGGCAATACTTAATAACTACACAATTTGTTTATACAATCCACTGCTCCCCATTCCTCTCCTGGAATTTGTCTCCTGATAGAGAATAACTTGGCTGGAATAGGATGGGTTGAGAAATAGTGTCTTTATTAACACAACTACACTGCCCACTTTAGCAACAAAATATGCACATTACATTATATTGCATCTCCAAATTTCAGTATCAGGTTATATTTATTAGCAAATATTTGTCTAGCATTCCAATTCTGAGAATTGCCTGAGATGCCTAGCATTAATATTCAGAATATGAAGCCAAAACAATGAAAACAGAAAACAATAAAGTGTGTGTGTATATTTCACTGGCATTTGAATAGTTCAAGATCCTTAACAGTAAAGAGATCTGAAGCCACTCAGATGTCATTTTGCCATATCAGAAAACTATTTTATTACAGTAGTTGTGGCAAACATGAATTAAATCAGAATGTTATAATATCCATCAAATAATATGTGTTATTATGTACAGTGTTACGTATATAAAATATAGGAAAAAAATACTTCACACCCATGCACATATAGAAAATATGAAAAATGGCAACAGCCCAACTGTTTGTTCAAACTAATATAATTGAAAACAAGTGCACTTGCAATATACAGAATATATATCTTTTTAGTGGTCTTTTATTGAAAATAAAACCATACCTGGTACCACGCACACAAAATAACTCTTACCAGAAGCTAAAATATATTTGCTTATTTCTATATATGATCTAAGTCCTCTGCTAATGGGAAAGGTAATTTAGCTCATTGAAACAAACTGATCCCACTTAATGATTTTTAAGCAGGAAAAGAAATAAAGAGATATAGATAAAACGTGTGTGGGGGGGTGTCTTTCTCTCTCTGTCTTTGTCTCTCTCTCTCTGTGTACACACACACACATATACAATACTGTGCAAAAGTTTTAGGCAGGTGTGAAAAAATGCTGTAAAGTAAGAATGC